AGTGGATATTTTCAGAACATTCAAAAACTTTGACTGCACGATAATAGCTAATTGGTACATATTAATCAAAATGGTGTTAATTCACTAAAAACATCTCTAAAATACTTAACAAGATTCTANCCTTGGCGTTATCAAATTTTAAATTCCATTCTCGATAACAATCGCAGAAAATTAACTATAAAAACTTTAAATCATTGTATCTTAAAGACCAAATGAGATATTATGATGAAATTACGATCATTTTAAAGCAAATTTAATATAGTTTTAATATGTTAAGTATAATTTCTTACGTTCTATAAATATTGGTGTTATCGTATTTTAAATCAAACTACGTTAACAATCGCTAACAATTTATAATGAAAACTACGAAACGACATATCTCAAGAACCACTTGAGATATCACGATGAAATAAAAAGCATCTTAAAGCATATTTAATTCAGTTTTACTGTCTCAGATATATTTTCTTATTTGCTATAGATCCCATTGTTATCATTCTTGCAATTCAACTCTGCGCGTTAACAAAGTCTGAAAACGTAAAGTTGAAATTTTAAAATATCGTATCTCAAGAACTAAATGAGATATGTTGAAATAAAAAGTATTTTAAAACAAATTTAATTTAGTTTTATTATCTTTAAACAAATTTGTTATTTTTTACACATCTCTTTGTTAATAATTTTATATTTTATATTTTTTATTTAGTTTAATAATCGCTGAGCATATAAAATCGAAATTTTAAAACATCATATCTCAAGAACCAAATGAGATACCAAGATGAAATGACAAGCATTTTAAAGCAAATTTAATTCAGTTTTGATATTTCAGGTATCATTTCTTATTTCCCATAAATCTTGGTGTTATCGTGGTTTAAATCCAAATCCGCGCTAAAAATCGTTGAAAATTTATAATGATAACTTTAAAACATCATATTTCAAAAATCAAATGAGATATCATGATGAAATTACGATCATTTTAAAGCAAATTTAATTTAGTTTTGGTATCTCAGATATAATTTCTTATTTTCTATAAACCTCCTTGTTATAATTTTTTTAAATCAAACTCTGCATGTTAATAATCGCTTAGAAAGTAAAATGTTAGATTAACATAAACAAGTAAATTGCTAAATAAATTTGATGACTCATTTCAATTCATTAAANAGTTTTGATATTTTAGATATCATTTCATATTTCCCATAAACCTTGGCGTTATCGAATTTTAAATTCCATTCTCGATAACAATCGCCGAAAATTAATTATAAAAAGTTTAAAGCATTGTATCTCAAGAACCAAATGAGATATTATGATGAAATTACGATTATTTTAAAGCAAATTCAATATTGTTTTGATATGTTAAATATAATTTCTTATTTTCTATAAATGTTGGTGTTATCGTATTTTAAATCAAACTACGTTAACAATCGCTAACAATTTATAATGAAAACTACGAAACGATATGTCTCAAGAACCACATGAGATATCACGATGAAATAAAAAGCATTTTAAAGCATATTTAATTTAGTTTTACTGTCTCAGATATATTTTCTTATTTGCTATAGATCCCGTTGTTATTATTCTTTCGGTTCAACTCTGCGCGTTAACAAACTTTGAAAACGCAAAAGTTGAAATTTCAAAATATCGTATCGCAAGAACTAAATGAGATATGTTGAAATAAAAAGTATTTCAAAGCAACATTAATTTAGTTTTAATATCTTTAAAAGAATTTCTTAATTTTTATAAATCTCTTTGTTATGTTTTTTTAAATCAAACTCTGTTTGTTAATAATCTCTGAGAATATAAAATGGAAATTTTAAAACATCATATCTCAAGAACAAAATGAGATACCACGATGAAATAACAAGCATTTTAAAGCAAATTTGATTCAGTTTTGATATTTCAAATATCATTTCATATTTCCCATAAACCTTGGCGTTATCGAATTTTAAATTCCGTTCTCGATAAAAATTGCAGAAAATTAATTATAAAAACTTTTAAGCATTGTATCTCAAGAACCAAATGAGATATTATGATGAAATTACGATCATTTTAAAGCAAATATAATACAGTTTTGATATGTTAAATATAATTTCTTATTTTCTATAAATGTTGGTGTTATCGTATTTTAAATCAAACTGCGTTAACAATCGCTGAAAATTATAAGGAAATCTATAAAACGTCATATCTCAAAAACCAGATGAGATATCACGATGAAATAAAGAGCATTTTAAAGCATATTTAATTCAGTTTTACTGCCTCAGATGTAATTTCTTATTTGCTATAGACCCCGTTGTTATCATTCTTTCAATTCAACTCTGCGCGTTAACAAACTCTGAAAACATAAAAGTTGATATTTGAAAATATCGTATCTCAAGAACTAAATGAGATATGTTGAAATAAAAAGTATTTTAAAACAAATTTAATTTAGTTTTAGTATCTTTAAACAAATTTGTTAATTTGTATACATCTCTTTGTTATATTTTTTTAAATCCAACTCTATTTGTTAATAATCGCTGAGAATATAAAATGGAAATTTTAAAATATCATATCTCAACAACCAAANAGCCTGCAAGATGTTGCTAGCGAGAAAAGTTTCAGAAATATGCTTCAAATCTCTATTATGCCGTAAACTACTAAATGGGTTATGTCTTGATCAACTCTACATTCAAACAGCAGCAGCAAAAATCGTTCAGGGTTATATAGTAATTAAAGTTAGAGTGTGTCAAAGTGGTACGAATCAAATCTGGAACACTTTATAGTTAGTGGATATTTTCAGAACATTCAAAAACTTTGACTGCACGATAATAGCTAATTGGTACATATTAATCAAAATGGTGTTAATTCACTAAAAACATCTCTAAAATACTTAACAAGATTCTAATATTTTGTGAAGGGTTCTATTGTTCTGTCCGCCAAATTTGACGCCATATTATAGCGAGTTAGCAAGGTATGTTGCTATTGGTGGTAAAGATTTGGCGGGATACCGCTAGTGTCACTTCTGGTTATTCTGTGCCAAGGTCCATTAAGATTTAGGCTAAACCCAAATGATTCTAGTTCTGCAATATAATTTAATATACGTACTTTTCCAATACGTATATTTAGCCTTTCAACTACTTCAATAAAAATATACAACAATCTAGCGCTTAATAATAATTAAAATTAGAACTAACACTAGACCTAGAAAGTTTCGGGTTTAATTGTGCGTCCTCAGGCTCACGGTTAAACTCGAATGTTTTTAGTTCTAGGTCTAGTGCTAGTTCTAGTTTTACATTAGCAGTGTTATTATATAGAACTAAACATTTGGATTTAGCCGCACGTCTCTAAAGATGGCTAAACCCGAATGATTCTAGTTTTAGGTCTAGCACTGCATAACAATTAAAACTAGCACTGTTACTATATAGAACTAACACTATACCTAGAAGTAGAATCGTTTGGGTTTAGCCGCATGTTTCTAAAGATTGATACGATCATAATAACAGCGTTCATAGGGAGTTGGATATACAGTATGTTTACTCAACTGACTTTGATTCTATGCTTTTGGTAACTCGCGATAATATGGCGGATTTTAAATCGAGGTCACAAAATGAGGTGCCGTTAACATCAAATGAATCGTCGTCAGTGTCATTTCTGGTTATTTTGTGGTATTACTTTCACCCTGATTTTGAATTTTTCACCCCCCAGAATGGCTGTTGCACTGTGTAATATCTAGTTTCTGCCAACAGTAATTAGCTTTCCATTAGTAATATTTAGTTTCTAACATCAATATCTAGTTTTCTCTCAACCGTCTCTAGCCTTCCCTTAGTAATATTTACTTTCTACCATTAATATTTAGTGATCTGCAAACAGTATCTAACCTTTCATTACCAAAATCTAGTTTCTGGAAGCAATATTTGGTCTTCTACGGGCAGTGTCTACCCTTCCATCAATAATATCTAGTTTCTCCTAATAGCAATTAGCTTTTCATTAGTAATATTTAGTTTCTAACATCAATATCTAGTTTTGTCTCAACAGTATTTAGCCTTCCCTCAGTAATATCTTATTTCTGCCATCAATATTTTGTCATCTGCAAGCAGTATCTAACTTTTCATTACTAAAATTTAGTTTCTGCCAGCAATATTTGGTCATCTGCAGGCAGTATCCACCCTTCCATCAATAATATCTAGTTTTTGTCAACAGTAACTAGCCTTCCCTTAGTAATATCTAGATTTTGCCATCTTTCATTAGTAATATTTAGTTTTTATCTTCAATCAGGACTGTAGATTATTCAGGATATTTTATCAAGACTCGATCAAATTTCCATATCAAGTTTATGTTGTTACTATCTAATTAAGATGGAGTTTTTGAAATTTGCAACAAATTTCTATTATCTCGCCTGACTTGGTAGATACAACTGGTTCTCCTTATATTGTCTTTCATTATAACCTCAATTTATGTATTTATTTTATTAAAGTAAATTGATCATCGTTGTTAAACTTCTTTGGATTGGTAGGTAAATGTGCATTGAAACTACTTTATTACGTTCGGTGGAGAATGTCAATTTAATGATTATTATTGTATAAAACTGTTTATGCAAATAGGTACTTATTTAAGTGATTAAATGTAAAAATAGAATTTTTAGAAGCAACAAATTTAAGCAAAGAGTTTTGCCGAAAAGCTATTAAACCCATAAAAGCTTTTTTTGCAACATTATAGAAAATACCAGACGGGCATTAAACTGTGACTCACCATATTACAGAAGTGCCAAAGCGTAGGTGTGAGACTCCATAAATTTATCACCGTCTACTACTAGTTTATTTTTAAAACACCAACCATTCACCGTTAACTTAAACGTTTTAAATCGATAAGATTGAAACCGAAATCGTTTTTAAGTAAAGTAAATAAAACAGAAAAGAAACATTCACATAAATCACCAAAAAAAGAATTTCAATAACGTTCACACACGAAGATATTAAAGGAAACTATGCAACCATACGATTATTAAGGGACATTCTACGCACGCGATTTCTTACTTCAGCTGAAGATCTTTTCGGTGGGCTGTATAATTTTTCTTGTCTTTTCTTCGATTCGGGATCTAATAATTTTTCGTGTCCACCAACACTCGCATAATTTTCGTATCGCTTTTCGCGGTTTCTGCTCATTTTCAACGCATTAAACATATGCATAGGTTTAAAATTGGTTACACCGCTTTCATCGATTAACAGATATGGCACTCGTCCGGCCAAAACGGCTCTCGCAGCCTCTTTCGGCACAACAGCTTGCACACCATTTCTACTTATCAAAATCGGATGTTCACCTTTATTCCTTCTTATTAAATAATCCTCGATCGCCAAAAAATTTTCATTTCGAAACAATCTTAACGGGATTTCCCTCGATGTTTTAATCGGATTTGGTTGTAACATTAAAGAGGCGCTTTCGCGCACTAATTGTCTGATTCTTGGATCGGTTTGGCCGCAATCCGGATTTTTTCGAATCCTTTCCAAAGCCGTTTTGCAAGAGTAATCTCTTTCGGCGAGTTTTCTTATTATGATTAAGCGTTTTAATAAATCTAATGATGATTTATCTAGGGTCATAATGTTTAAGTCGGTGGTGATGAGGATTTGGTTCAAACTTTCCGATACTTCTTGTAAACCCAATGCTTTGGCAACTCCGATTCCTTCGGATACAAAATCGGTGAGGGCGTTTTTGTCTGCTAAAATAGCGAATTCTTGTAATTTTTCGTTCGAAAAATCTTTAACCGCATCGATTATCGAGTCTTCGAGTAAATTCATTGCGGCTAATTCTGTTTTTACCATATTAATGCGCTCTTCTACGTTATCGGCTACGAAATAAAGTAATTCAGGGTCTACTTTGCCCAATTTTTTTATTGCGGTTGTTGTGATGTTATCGTCTGGTAAAACATCCAACACTTTATCAAGCATGCCAATATGTTCGTGTTTATCACATAAATCAATAAAACTTTTAAGTAAATCTACTTTATTTTCGCGAATATCTTGAGTGAGTTCTTTAAAAATGCTTGTGCTAATTTCGTTTCGATCGATTGGGGTGTTCATTAATAAGCACATTTCGTCTAAAATTTTATTTTTATCCTTTAATAAATCGATTATTATATCGCCCATTGTCGATAAAGCTAACGCTTGATCTTTTGGTCGTTTTTTAAAGATATCATTAGCGGCTACTGCGGCACTTTTTAAAGCGATTTTAACGTTGGGGTTTGCGACAAAAAATTTTTCGTCAGCTTCAGTTATAAAAACGGTGCTATCTAACATAATCGGGTTATTTATATTTTGCATATTAATTTTGCTTCTTTCTCGGAAAGTTGAAGCTCTGCGTAATAAAGTTATCAATATATCAGCTAATTTGTAACTTTTAGCTTCATCGTCGGTTATTTTTAGCGCAATTTCGTTAGCGTCGTCTACAGTGACGTAAGTTACAAAGTCATCACCGGCTGGGAGTGTTATTTTGCGTAATTCCTCCAATTTCTTTTGTAAATCTGATTTTTTTTCTTCAACTGAAGCGATTACATCGTCCATACCATCATCGATTGGTTTTATTTCTATAATTTCTTTATCTTTAGGTATATATTCGTCTTCGGTTAAGTTATCCATTGAGCCCATTTTTGAATCAATGAAAGATGTTTCTTCTAAATAACTCGGAGTTTCTTCGATTAAATCGATTGCGACATCATCTAATTTAATTTCGTTTAAAATCTCCTCAATCGCAGGTTTTGGTTCTTCAATAATCGGAAGATTTTCTTCAATAATAATTATTTCTGTATCATTTATTACTTTTGGTGTCTCCAAATTTTCATTTACATTTTCATTTTTATTTTTCTTCTTCTTCTTCTTCTTTTTTGATTTCTTTTCGGTTTTCTCAACTTTTGGAATGGGTTTAGGTCTTTCCTCTGGATTTGTGGTAAAAGTTAATTGACCATCAGCTGTTATTGTAGATTCAGAAGGAAGAAACATCGGTTTCTGTGTATTTTCTTCTGCCATAATCAATCCGGTTATCAACGAAGGATTTCCATCTAAATTAATCGTAATTCCAGGTGCGTATTCGAACCCAAATTCATTTTCGATTGTTTGCCCTGGAACAAAAACGTCACCATCATCGGTTTTTACCATTTGGCCAGGCACAAAAAGTTGCTTCCCATTATCCAAAATAACTTTAACCCCAGAAATTTTTTTAGTATCCCCAATAATGCACGGTTTTGCTTTCCCTAAATTCTTAACAATATCATTAATTTCATTCATCGAAGGTAATAAATGTAACGCGTTATTCTCGATGATTTTATCACACACATTCTTGGTAATCTCAAAGTCCTCAACCTCCATCCCAATATGTTCCTCTTCAACTTCCTCGAAAATCGTATCAATAACTTGTTTGGCTTCCTTCTCGAATTTCTTCCAATTTAAATTTTTAATTTCTTCTTTAACCATATCGTCCCACTCGATCGTTCCTTCGCCGTGTTGTTTTTTACGTCTTTCAATAATATTCATCAACTCTAATTCCCACTCTTCCAATTCGCGCTCTTTCTCTTCAAAAATACGAGCTAAACTCATCGTAAATTTTCCGTAGTGATGAAACTTCTCTTCTTCGCTCGAAGTTTGACCTTCGCCGTTAAACATTGGTTCGTCTAAATTAAAATTTTCAAGATCAATAGGAACCTTTTTAAAATCTTTCAACTTTAATAAAATTTTATTACTACTATGTGAAATTAAAACGTCGATTATATCACCATCTCGAATAGCTAATTCTAATTCGGCCGAAAAAACTAAATTGTGCTTTTTATCTTCAATGGTGTAAACGAACTTTCCCGTGCCGGATTTATTTTTTAGTATATTTAGAAGCAATTGATGGCTTTCTAAATTTGGATCGAGTACAGGTGTAAGATATTTATAACCTTTCATAAGTTTATGCGTGATTTTGCCGTAATCTTTCGATGATTTCGATCGTTTTCTACGGTGATTAAATAAAACTGGCATGTAATGTTGGACTTTCGAACCAAGCAACCATTTTCCGGTTATCTTAAACGTTCGTAGAGCATCTTTGGGCGTTTGAGGTTTTAAAAGTGGTAGATAAAAGTGTCGTTTGAAGATTCTACTCTTTCCGGTGATTTTGCAGAAGTTCAATACGTAGTTCATGCTTTAAAAAAAAAATAAATTAATAAGTAAAAATATATTTTTGTGTAGAGTGAGTTTTAAATTAATACAAAAATAATATATAAAAGTTATCAGCTGGATTCTTAGACTTAATTTTCTTAGTTCATATTTAAAATATCGTGAAATATTCATTTCTTACTAAATCTTTATTCATCGTTCAATATTCATAAAGTGTTAACTTTTTTAATAAAAGTTTCAGAAATAGCTCTAACTTCTTGAGATAATATTTTTGGAAGTTCATCAACACTTTTATTCATTCTTAATTTAAATAACATTGNTTTGGTATCTCAGATATAATTTCTTATTTTCTATAAACCTCCTTGTTATAATTTTCGTAAATCTGCATGTTAATAATCGCTTAGAAAGTAAAATGTTAGATTAACATAAACAAGTAAATTGCTAAATAAATTTGATGACTCATTTCAATTCATTAAATATAGTTGTTCGAATGTAGTTACAAACACATTGATTTAGATATTACGTTCCTATAGAGTGTAGGAATTGTAATTTATTGCCGAGTACAGTTTCTCCAGTAGCAAAACTTATTGTAACCACCAAACATTATGTTGAACTGCCAATACTTTCTATTGAAATCGGATTAAACCACGGTTCAGACCACCCATACGATTTCAAACTGCATACATTAACGGTTTTAATTGTTCCATTGTACGATCCATTCGATCGGTGCCTATTAGTTCAAAGTATAATCGCTCCGTTTGGAATTTTCATGTATATTCGCGCTCGTATAAATTAACGGTTCCGTTTTACGGCCCGTTTAGCAATTGAGAAATGACCACACAAAATAACATGCCGAATTCGGAGTAAGAAAAAAAAAATTGTTTTTATTTTCGATTTGACCTCGACACGACACGAATTTTCGGTTAGATAGATAATCTTTAGTGTTCGCGCGGACGTTGACTTACTAATGTTATGCGACGTTTAATTCGGACACAACACGCTATTCCTTTTTCATTCCAGAAATAAAACTGACCACATTCCAGACCAATCAACATAAATAAAAACTTACGCCGTAAACTCCCCTAGCGCCAACCTCTTGCGAAATGTAATGCCTTTTATAGTTGCGTTTTTTAACTTCTTTTTTCGGTAGAAATCTCTGATGAGCTCCCACCACCGGGTATTCCCCGTATTTATCTCTTTGTTTTTTGTTAAGTTTTAATGCGCAAAACATGTGTTTAGGAATATATTTTTGAACCCCATTTTCATCTAGTAAATAATAAGAAACCCTTCCCGTTAAAACATCTCTTGTGGCTTCGTGAGGCACCACCATTTTACAATCAGATCGACAGATTAAATAAGGTATGTGCTCCTCAATTTCTTCTTCTTCATCGCCGGGAATAAAAGAAGTACTCGGACCTGGAGTTATCGGTGAAGGAGGAGGTGGTGTATTTGGTCTTTGTGGTGGTTTTGCAGGGCGCATCGGTATGGGACATTGCGCCATCGCTTTACCATGCATATACACAGGCCTGTGTAACGAATTCATTTTGCTACAAAGACAATTTAAAATTATTAAACAAATTTAAAAATAATTCTTCCAAGAACCAAAACTTATTATTGTATATTTTCAATAAATATCACGTATTCCTTTTCCTGGTTTACATATGTATTTAAAATTAACACCATCTGGGATCAGTTAGCCTCATTAAGTCGAGGTGAACCGTAAAAATAGCCCACAAGAAAACCAAAATGAAACGAAAAAAGAAAAAGCAAAACTAAAAAAGAAAAACAACAAAGACTGGTTTAAGATGAGAGAAGAGGTAACACGTGTAAGAAGACGTGGTTTGTGTGTCGTATTAATAAACTCATGGTACCATGGCGATTTAAACCCACCGAGAACGTAACGAGTAAAAAGAACGACCACGAACGTGCCGGAATAAGATAAAAAACGAACGTACCTTTAAACTGAAACGGAAAGATGGGAAACTGAGGGTGCGATTATCCAAACGACTCGAATGGAAAAGAATACGGATGTGTTTATTTTTCGTTCCCTAATTTGACAACGATGACAAAGTTTTGCAACCACAAAGCTACGCGTGCCGATTGATATTCAACGAAGAATTTCACCTTGAGCGTGCACAATGTCGATGTGTATATTATTGTTTTTGGACAATGTTCAGAACCGAATTTGTCACCTAACCGAGTGACATTGAGGTTGTGTATCGTATAAAAATAGAATTTGTTTAAATCTCTTCATTTTCTGTACATTGAAACTACATAAAAAGAAAAGATTACATCTCATTAAACCTCCTCGTATGGTCTCTTTTTTTTGCTCATCTCTTTACTTACTTACATTCCACCATCTAGAAGACAAACCTAACGGACGCCTGAGTCGACGTCGGGCGATAATCATCACATGTCCGTCTTCTCTCAAAGAAACAACCAACGCTGAAGACCGTCGTCGAGGAAAAGTGGTTTTAGTGCAAACGCGGTCGAGAATCGCGGATTCTGTTGGGTCTCGGTAATAACAGTATCGGGTGTATTATTACTTACCGGTTCGGGTCTCTTTGAGCTTTTCTTTGGTAAACCAACCGTAAGTACCCGAGCCCTATTTTCTACTTCCCTTCTTCTCCACTAATGCTTGTTCTTTCTGTTCGTTCGTGTTTCGAAGGGAAACAAGAAGGAAAATTGGTTTCGAAGCAATTAGGTTCGGTAAAGTCTTACGATGAGATGGTTCTTTGTCATAAAAGGTATCATCTTTGTGGTACTGTTTCGTGTTTGACGAACGTTTACTGATTTCTTCGTTGGTAATTGAACGGGTAATGGTTCGTAATTGAGTGTTATTTTCCGTATAAACTACGACTTTTTTTTTTGCTTTATTAAGTACATAGATTGAGCTGTTGAATGAAATTTTGTACAGAGTGTTAACATTTATTGGAATCAAAGATAATGACTTATAATATACTTATAAAAATTTCTTTTTTACAGATATGGACGATAATTAATACTTGTAAGAATTATAAAGAAACGCCTTGTTGTTCTGATGTCTTGTTCTACCCTCAATAAGCAATACTTGGATAAATGGCTTGCATCGTTACATGGATATATGCATGGAAAGCCATATCAGAAAATTTTTGGCGTTAAATAAGCCTGCCATCCTTGGTATCGTACTTCCAAATACTCCATTTTAGGTTTTGTAATGATCAAGTATGTCAATATCGACCAGATAGCTAGGATTTCTGGCTTGGAGTCTCTCCCAAAATAACACAATGGCACGACCGTCTGAATTCTTGCCCAGATTAGAAACCACCAGAAACTCTTCTTTGCAGTTAATTTTATTTATATTACTTGATTATTACTATTCCAAAACGGATAACTGATTTTAAGAAAAGCCGGATACCGGATATTCGGCATCCACTTCGGCAGGATATCCGGATATAAGTTCTGGTGCATTTCTGAAGTGATACCCTATATTGCCACATTATTGCGATTTGATGCTGCTTTAACTAATGAAGCAACTCTAAAAAGAGGATACTTTAGTTAATAATTGGCGATATTTGCACAAGGATTCTTCAAGAAATTAATTTTATAGCGAATTTTGAAAGTTATCGATGAAAATTGCGACATCGAAAATTTTATCAAAACTTCAAATATTGTTTTCTCAAGAACTAAAAGTTATTTTTCAAAACGGGTTGGTTCATTGGAAACAAGACACTTTTATTAACAATTTGGAAAATTTTCATACTCATCTTCCAAGAATTGGATTTTATACGAATTTCTAAAACTTAATGGGCGAAAATTTGCAAAATTCGCAAAAATTGTCGATTATTTCAAAAATTTATTTCTCAAGAACTAAAAGGGATTTTTCAAAACGCGTTTGTTCATTGGAAAGAAGACACTTTTATTAACATTTTGGACAATTTTCATCCTCATATTCCAAGAACTGGATTTTATACGAATTTTTAAAACTTAATGGGCGAAAATTGTAAAATTCGAAAAAATTGTCGATCATTTCAAAAATTTATTTTTCAAGAACTAAAAGTGATTTTTCAAAACGGCTTTTTGCATTAAAAAGAGGATACTTTAATTAATAATTGGTGATATTTCCACAAGGATCCTTCAAGAAATTAATTTTATAGCGAATTTTGAAAGTTATCGATGAAAATTACAACATCGAAAACTTTATGAAAATTTCAAATATTGTTTTCTCAAAAATTAAAAGTCATTTTTCGAAACGGGTTGGTTCATTGGAAAGAAGACATTGTTATTATCATTTTGGACAATTTTCATCCTCATATTCCAAAAACTGGATTTTATACGAATTTTTAAAACTTAATCGGCGAAAATTGCAAAATTCGAAGAAATTGTAGATCATTTCAAAAATGTATTTCTCAAGAACTGAAAGTGATTTTTCAAAACGGCTTTTTGCATTAAAAAGAGGATNGAGATGCTATCGAGTTACGACTCGTTTAGTAGATGACCGTTAAATTTTAGCTGTATCACACCACATGTTAATCACGTGGTACCGACGAGTAATCCCGAGCAAAATAGTGCGGTGCCTACGAAGTACCCGAAGGAAAAGTACACGTCTTGTGTAAAATTTAGAGAACTGTAAAAACTACTCTATTAAGTGAATAATATATGATCTTTATATTAATATTAAATATAGTGTACATTGGAGTTGTTTTTACCATGTGGTATTACAATTTTTACTCTAATTCTTTTTACCAACTACTCTAACATTTTTACACGACACGATTTTTTCCTGTGTATTGATGCTAAGGATACCATACACAATGCTCAGGAACACAAGGAACGATACTGAAAGATATTAGAAACATAGTTAATGGACGAAGTTGAGAAATTAACGCCGATGATTCGGGATATCAAATACGTTGTTGATATTAAGGACGATGTTTAGCGCAGTTAATAACGATGTTGATAAAAGATAGGAAGTAAGTTGAGAAAGATCAGAAAAGTTTTGTAATATATTAGAAATGCTATGATTCAGATATATCATGAACAGTGTCACTGCTATAAATGATATCCGAGAATGTTGAGCGATACCGAGAATGGTGTTGAGAGATGATTAAGAAGATGTTGTGAAAGGTGAGGAAATGATATCCGAGTGATGTTGGGAGATAATAGTTACAATGCTGGCACATACAGGGAACAATAAATAAAGATAATAAAGGTGATATTAATAGAAGATTCGAAAAGAGGTTGGAGGACACTGAGACGATATACGAAGATATCAGGTTCAATATTCGAGGATATTATGGGATTATATTGAAGGATACTAAAGATGATGTTAGGAGATATCAAAGATTATGTTTAAAGATTTCGAAGAGAATGTTAATAAATAATGTGAAAATGTTGAGGAAGAAATTGGTGATAATGGGGGTAATACAAATGTATATTGAGTGATATCGGGATGATAATTAGAGATCCAAGATAATATTGATGGATAATGGAGAATATATTGAGGAATGCTACCAAAGTATAAAGAAATTGTGTTGAGATATATCAGGAATGATGTTAAGGAATACTGTATGTATACAAAGTTACATAACATACATAACTTATTCGACCATTATGAAAAAAAATTGATATGAATAAAAGATTACAAGAAGCTATGCCTGACTATTGACTATAAACTTTTAACATAAGTCATAGTAAATATAATGAACTCAGCGATCCCCGGGTACGTAGTAAGTAAGCACAAAAGCTACAGAATACGGCTTTTACTACAGAATAAGCTACGGTAAATGTGTGAAAATTCTCTTATGCCAATAACATCTAGTTCTTCAAAATAAGAATAGCATATTAGGAACCAAAAAATAGCATAACCATTTACAAAAATGCTTCAAACACCCGAAGATATGCAGTTTTAGTACATACAGTACAGGGTGGTTCAAATTCGTTGTCCGAATAGGCTCTCTCGGAAATTATAAGAGTCATGATCTCATTTTTCGAGAAACTCCTAATGCCAAAAACCTCAAAACGCTATCGGTTTTTGTTTTTCCCCTAGAGGCCAAAATTGAAAATATCGTAAAACCAGCAAGTGCAATTATCTTGGTTATTATTATAGGTGGAGTATTATAACTGAGACATTATAGGGACACTTTTTTACAGAGAATTTGATGACGTAAAAAAAAATTTTCGGTTTTAGATTTTGAGATTTTATGACAATTTTCGTTTTTTTAAATGGAAAAACCACTGATTATTCGCTTATTAAATTCGTTATTTTTTTCTGATCACAAAAATATGGGGCTAGAAGGTCTATTTCTTATTGTTTTAGAATAAAGCTAAAAATAAACTTTTTTTTAGTGTCATTAAAGAAATTAAATTTACAGTTTCCTGCAAATTACGGTACTATAACTAAAAATTTATATAAAATTTACTTTATTTTCTAATATGTAACATTCTAAGATGTTAAACTTTTGGTAATTTTCATAATACATCTTAAAAAACAGGACTTTTAATTTGATGCTTCCGAAAATTTTTGAATACAAACAAATGTTGCTATGTTTATTTCAATTATAAAAATAAAAAAATATATGAGCGCCATCTATCAATAATTTATTAAGTCATTTAATAATAATATTAAATATTAATAAAAAATGTGAAATAATGCAATCTATTCCAACTTTTGTGTAAAACAAATATAAATTAAATAGTTCAACAAATGTATTTGTTGTTTTAAATATCAGAAATATGTTTTTTTAATTTTTAGTTATAATTTACAGGAAACTGTAAATTTAATTTCTTTGACGACACTAAAAAAAAGTTTGTTTTTAACTTTATTCTAAAATAATAAGAAATAGACTTATTAAACCCTATATTTTTGTAATCAGTGGTTGTTTCTATTTAAAAAAACTAAAATTGTCATGATATCGCAAAATCTAAAACCCAAAAATTTTTTTTGGCTACGTCGTCAAATTCTCTGTAAAAAAGTGTCCACATCATGTCTTATTGTTAGTTATACTACTTCACTTATATTTATAATAATAACCAAGATAATTGCAGTTTAGCAATTTCTCGAAAAACGAGATCATGACATGTAAGCTACTTTTTTTCTAACTCTTATAGTTTCCGAGTTAGTCTATTCGGACATCGAATTTGAATCACCCTGTACATACGCGATACGATGATGCGAACATTCAGTAATGAGAACCTGTCGATAGTGTGAACACGAAATTATTTACACTGAACGCCGTATAATGTGAACAGTGCGAACAAATGCATTGTGCCTTTTTGTCAGGGTTTTCACTTATATCACATTCAACATATAGTGTGAATAAAGGCAGCTGTGAATGTGCCTCCGATGTAAATACATTGTGCTGAGAATGCTTAGAACAATATGGAGAAATTAAAGAAATGAGTTTAAGAGAAAAAGTCAATATAATCGAAGAAGGTACAAGGGGAATGTCAGCCACGACGTTATCTAAAAAATACGGAGTTTCAACATCAACAATTTGTGGTATAAAAAAAAATGAAAAACTTATTATCGATACGGTAACTCACACGCTAAAAATATCAAAAAAGTGCACCTTGAAAAAGTCAGCATTTCTACTTTTAGAGGAGAAATTGTACAATTGGTTTCTTAAAGAAAGAGAAAAGAATTCACGAATTACTGGAAATATGCTGAAACTAAAGGCATTCTCATTATCAAAACAATTGAATACTGATACTTTCACGGCCAGTGATGGATGGCTGCAAAGATTTAAATACCGTCGTGGTTTAAGGTTTTTGAAAATCGCAGGGGAGAAATTATCGGCCAACCTAGTTGCAGTAGACCCTTTTAAAGAGGATCTAAAGCATATGATTCAAGATCACGACCTAAAGCGGCAGCAGATTTATAATATTAATGAGACAGGATTGTATTGGCGCTTATTGCCTGACAAAATAGACAAAACTGCTCCTGGATTAAAAATTTCGAAGCAACGACTGACGTTTATGGGTTGTGTAAATGCTTCAGGCTTACATAAGCTGAAACCATTGCTGTATAAAAGCACTAAGAAGGCGTGGATGACTGGGGAACTCTTTAAAGAATGGTTTTTTCAACATTTTGTACCTGAAGTAAGAGTTAAAATTATCTGCTATTTGTTTCATAAGGCTGATTATATTTCAAAATTATATTACACAATTCGTAGGTAAGATGTTTTCTGCGTGCTCAGGAGTTACCTCAGAAAGCAATTCTCTTTGTGGATAACGCAACGTTCCATCCACCAGCAACAGAATTGAGGACTAAAATTGGGATGATCTTTGTAAAATTCTTACCTCCTGATGTTACGTCCTCTCAGATTTTAATCAACAAAATAAAGATGTAGACGAAGATAACATTCCGCTAAGTATATTAAGGGAAAAATTAAGACGTGAAATAAATTTGGTCCTTGATGTTATTAGGGATACAATAAATTTATTACAGGAGCGGTAAGTTATTACTGTAATTTATTACAGTAAGTTAATGTATAAGTGGTTTTAGAAGTCGATATCAAAATCATAAACTGCACATTTTAGGGTGACTACACTGCTGCAAATGTGGAACATTTGGACAAGGATGAAGCAGCAGATGTTGGAAATGGGTCTTCTTCAGATGAAGATGAAAATGAGTGCACTGAAAAAATAAATTTGCCATTCCGGTGCAATTAAAGCGTTTAATGTAGCTGTAGAATAGTCAAATCAAAATTCCATAAATATAAGTGAAATCATCACCTTGAAAGCAATTCAAGGAGAAGCAGTTATAGCCAAAATTGCTCAAGAAAATATTCAGAAAAAATGTTCATGAATAACTGATTTAGGTTTAAGTAATAATTTAGTACAATCGGTAAATGCAGATGTAAATGCTATTATCTACAATAATTGGGTAATATTTATAAAGTTTGAATATCCATAATGGTCATCAGAAAATTATTGAAGATATTCCGAGAATTTTTAAAAATATACATACATTTTAAGTAAAACCCAAAAATTTCCTGACATTTCCTGGAAACCCTCAAAATCATCATCAAAACTCAACTCAATCCAAATGTATCTCAACCAAATTACTAAAGCCTGAAAAGTTGGTGTTCTTAGAAGACTGATCTTTGACCATGGCTATCAAGTCATCGTAAGATTTGTACGTAGGCTCGGCTATGGGAAAATATAGAATTAATAATAAAATACTCAACATATGACAAGTATATCGTGGTGCAAACCGATATGGTTCTATTGTCTCAATTGCAACGTAAACCATATGCCGTTTTTGAATCTAACCGAACCCAATGTTGTTTAAATTTAAAACGTGGCTAGGTTGAGATGATTTTGGGAACCAAAGCAAAAATTATTTATAATCAATAATAGGTTACAAAAAGATGTTTCTATCTTCTAAAACAGCAAAGGAAAACATGAGAATACTATGAAATTATAAAATAAAGTAGTTGTGGGTCTCGCACTGTAGACTACAACGACATCTTATATAAGTATACTCAAGAAGATGACTATATGAAAGATAATCATACGATTATTTAGAACTGAAACACAAATATGGGCTAAATGTATTTTTGGATAGAATCCAAAGCTTGTACTAAAATAGCAGTCCATCTCAACCTATTAATCGTTGCAACTGAAGAGTAATGGTTTACGTGGAGGAAAATTTTTAAGATTTAGTAACGACGTGCAAGCATAGTTATTCTAATAATAGAATTTTATAGTTTATATGTTGATAAGAATAATTCTAGAACCAACTCAAGCACAAACTGGAGAGCTAATATAGCTGTGGGAAATAATGCTGTAAAACAGCTTTTAATAAAAAAAAACTTTTAATTGTTAAAATAATAATTTTTGATGTTGCCCATAATCTTTATTCCAAAATTTTAATCAATAAAGATTCAACATTAAACACAACAATTATTTCTAGAGATATCACAATCGTTTTAAGCCTCTTCAGATCATTTCACTTATTTAATTATTTTTTCTTATTATTTATTAAAAATTTGTATTGTTTCTTTTTTGATACCAATACATTTAGGGTTTGTTACTTTTAAGGTTTTAAGGAAATGTTTTTAGGAAATATTATTGTTTCTCAAAATACTCTAAGAAACCAGCTGATAAGCTATATTTGCGAAAATTTACTTACATTTCAGTTTAGTCGGATAGTTTTTTGTTTGATGTCGAATAAAACTAACAATTTATTACTTTTTTTCTGGGTTTATTATTTTAAAACTGATTCAGTTTTATCTAGCTTTTGAAATATTTTCTTTACACACACACATATAATATATACACAACCCCAAAAAAAGTATTAGATGGTAAAATACAAATTAAATTATGTAATTAAATTGTGGATAACAATAATGAGCGAAAAAAAAATGTAATTAAGAGCTACTCGCGAAGAAACAGAAGTTTGAATGTTCGTTTGAATTTTTGATTTGATGTCGCGGTTATTCTCGGATTCGAAAGTGCCAGCGAACGTACGCCGGGTAACTGCGACGCACACTGAAGCACTACTGAACGAGGCGAGGCGCCGCGACGTCGTTTTAAAATTTAAACTCTCCCGAATACCGGGGAGTTTCCGTCTATGATCCCGTGGGCCATCAATTTCTCCATGAGTTTAAACTTTCTGCTCGTTTGTCTAACGTCTTCTAAAATCCTTTTGGTGTTGTCGTCGTCAAAGAAAGTTCCTTTCGAGATCAGATCTTCGTATTCGGCCAATTTTGAACTTTTCTTAATTGGCTCTAAAGGCCTATATGGTGGTGGTTTAATAATTACCATACTTTTACATTGTCTTCTGATGGCCATACGTAATTTGTCAACTTTTGCTTCTTCTTCCCTAATCTTATTCTCTTTCCTTTCTTTGATCCTCTTGTTGTCCTCTTCCTCTTGTTGCTTCTTGCGTTCCTCGTAAAGTATCAACGGATCGACTTTCGCCTCCCTTTGAGGGATAAAAACCTCTTCGACAACTTTTTCCTTCTTCTTCTTCTTAACGACTTTTTTCTCAACCATGTTGTTTGTTGCGATTCAAACTGGGAACTGTGAAGTATATAATTATCGAGTAATTAACGAACGGTAGTTTCGGGTTTCTGATCGCAATTCTTCTATATATGTCCGCGGTCAGCTGTTACCTGCACGGGACTGAAACCAGAGATGGGATAGAACATTAATAGATAATCGGTGTGGGAGAGGTGTCAACCCTGTGTCCAATAGCATTTCGGATACCGATCCCGGTTTGGATTGACCTTTGGTATATCAAATTCGATCAAGAAGAAACAGGACGGATTACTTAATGAACGACGCGTTCACGTTTGAAGCAATCAGATCTCAGCTACCTGTTGAAATATCTCTAAAATGGCACGTGGAGTTTGCATATACATTTAGATTTAAGATCAAGGTTCATTTCAACAAAATTTACAAACATTTTTTATGTATACTTATTTTGGTTTACATTATTTTTTCTGTATTTTTACCATCAACTCTCAATATAAGTAACCAGACTACAAAAATAAAAAATTTAATGCTTACCAAAAGCCATTCGACAAAATATTTCTTTCTGCATCGATTACCAACACTTAAATTAGCAAGTCAGAAACATATCATTCGTCTTCCTAAATTCTCCAAGATCTCAACGAGACTATTATCTCTTTCCCACTAAGCTTAAAGCAAATTAGAGACACAAATCAATATTGAAAGAACTGAAACGATTAATAAGTCAAAATGTAGCGCCTAAGCAGTATCGAGTAACGCAAGTCGTGCAAGAAATAGTCTCACCAAATCCCAGAAAATGATTATATTAAATAACTTGCTAGGTTATCTAAGACGTATTTCAGAATAACTTGAATTTTGCTATTGAGGTTATCTACAGGCCGCCATCTTCTGATTTTGATCGTTTTTGGAAGTATTAGAGGAGTCTTTGTCAGAAATCTGTGTGACTGTCGATGGAGTTATAATCTTGGGGGATATTAATGTTAACCTTTTGGCCAATCGATCTTCTGCTGATGCCTTGATCCGTACTTTGGATGCATTTGATTTACGGCAAATTGTTGACCAACCGACTCGAATTACAGATTGCTCTGAGATCCTAATTGACGTTATTATTATATCTAAAGAGTTGCCTCTTCTCATTTATGATACTGAGGATATTATGGTCTCAGATCATTTGTTAGTTTATTGTCAATTGTTAATTCCTGCAAGTGCTAAACCTAAGGCCAAACTTATTAGCTTCCGTGATTCTATCGATATGAATAAATTTAGCAGTGATCTAGATTTAAAGAACTGGAAGGCTATTTATGATTTTGAGCATATAAACGTCAAGCTCAACTGTTTTACCGTTGTATTGCTCTCTTTATTTAGCTTTCATGCACCTATTGTGACGAAAGTGCTAAAGAAAAGGAGCCTTATTATGGATTACATGGAATATTAAACAAATGATTAAATTAAGGAATGATGCGCAATTACCTTACAGATGCCATTCGTCGGGAGAAAGAGACCTTCTTTGAAAAAAACTTAGTTGTTGTTAATTCTAGAGATATGTGGAAAAATCTTAAAATCTTTAATGTTTTGAAATCTTCCAGTGTTAGCATCCCTCCAGATTTGTCAGATCCCGATAATATTAATACATTTTTATAAATAATGGTTTCTCCTGACGTTATTCTTTTGGAGTATTATAATGGTAACAGAATGCGTGCATATGTGCCAGCAGAATGGACTAAGGTACGGGTATCTTACATACCCAAAGCCGGCCGTTCGGTCCCTACTTCTAATACCTTTCGACCTATCAGCCTAACGTCATTTCTGCTGAAAACCCTTGAAAAAGTTCTGGAACGGTATATCCGTACGGTGCCATTGGTATCTGGTCCACTGAGTCGCCACCAGTATGCTTATCAAGCGGGAAAATCAGCAGAATTGGCTCTACACAACTTAGTTGGTAGAGTATCCAGGACGCTGCAGGATAAAGAAATCTTGGTTTGTGCGTTTCTGGATATAGAGGGAGCGTTCAACAACGTAATACCACAATGTCTTGAAAGAGCTGCTCTTGACAGGGGAGTGGAAGCAACTATAGCGGGTTGGATCCGCAATATGCTAGATAGTAGAATAGTTTCTACTTCACTCCACGGTGATTCGATACGCTTCAGGCCGGGAGGTGGCTGCCCGCAGGGAGGGGTGTTATCTCCCCTGCTTTGGTCCCTCCTAGTTGACGATCTGATTGCGATAGTCGAAGCCGTTGGTGTGGAAATACAAGCTTATGCTGATGACATTGTCGTTATGGTCAAAGGAACCTGTTTGCCGAGGATATCTAAAGTCCTCCAGGTGACCCTAGATACCATTTGCGCTTGGTGTAAGGGAGAGAACCTCTCAATAAACCAGCAAAAGACAATTGTTGTGCCCTTCACCAGGAAGCGAAAGTTGGATGGACTAATCCGCCCAACTATCCAAGGTGAAGAAATTCCTTTTTCAAAGAAAGTCAAATATCTAGGAGTAATCCTAGACAAAACCCTGTGATGGAATGGACATTTGCAGGGAGTTTTGCACAAAGCTAGACTATCCTTGTGGACTTGTCGCAGTCTTTGTGGAAAAAATTGAAAAAATGATCACATACGGAGCAGCAGCCTGGTATAGGAAAGTCCGACAGACTTCAGTTATCAGTAAACTTTCACGAATTCAACGAGTAGCTGGATTGGCAATCTCTGGTGCGATAGGCACAACGCCAACTCTAGCAATGGAGGTTCTGCTTGGCCTATCTCCTCCGGTACCAAATTGTACCGCCTAAGCGGCAGTCCTAGATCGAAAATGAATATTCTCTGGTTCGGGCAGACATTTGCTTGTACACAGATGGATCAAAAACGCCTGAAGGGGTAGGAGCAGGAGTATACTGCCAGACACCTCGAATTAAGCAAGCCTACAGCCTGGGTACGTACTGTACTGTATTCCAGGCGGAAGTATTTGCTATTGACATGGGTGCTAAAATCCTTCTTGAAAGAGGGGTGAAGAACATGACAGTACGAATTTTCTCAGACAGTCAAGCCGCTCTCCAGGCGCTGCAAGCCGTGAAAACGGTGTCGGCTCTGGTTAATGATTGTAAGAGAACATTAAACACACTGAGTTGTGATAACAGAGTCTCTCTGATCTGGGTCCCGGGTCACTCTGGGGTTGCTGGCAATGAAGCGGCAGATAAGCTAGCACGAGATGGCAGCGCTGAAGCGTTTGTGAAGCATTTGCGATGGCCAAATATAGGATTGGACTGTGAGCTGAAGAGAGACTTCGCCTACTGTGGACCAGTTCTCCTGGAATGAGACATGCTAAGGTTTTTATTAACATCGCCACTGTCAAACCCGGGAATATTTTAGGACTTGCCCGTAGTAGCATAAAAGTTCTAATGGGTGTTTTTACTGGGCACTGCCGATTAAAAGCACACCTCAACTTGTTGGGTTTAGCCGACGATGTTGAATGCCGACTATGTGCGGAGGAAGCAGAGACGGTTGAGCATGTTTTATGTCACTGTCCTGCCGTTAACCGTATCAGATTCTCGATTTTTGGGTCGCAGTTTATCTCCTCAAAAGATCTGAATGACCTTTCGCCGAGCAAGGTATTAATGTTCGTTAAGAGCATTGGACTGCACGGTGAAATTTGATAACGATATCTATCGGGGTACAATACATCCTTAGGGTCGCGGTGCAAGGTTGGTTGATCCGCCTACCCGATATGTATTCTATGTAATGTAATGTAACAGAATGCGTCCTGACTCACCGACAATGGCATTTCATGCATTATCTACTGATCACATCAGGGCATCTTATTAATAATATGTGATCTACTTGTGTTAGGTCTGATGGGATAAACTTAGAAATGATACGTTTATGTTGTTCAGGTAATCTTTACGTACTTGGCCATCTCTACAATTTTTGTCTTACTTAATCAGTATTCCCAAACTCCTTGAAGTACGGCTATATTGTTCCCATTCCCAAAGTAGTTTCAGTTAATACATATGTATAAGGATCTGACGTCTATAACAATACTGCCAGTGTTATCAAAGTTATTGGAAAGGCTTATGGTTGAGCACCTTCGGTCTTATTTAGAAGTGTATTGTATACTACCACTTAAACAGTCTGATTTTCGAAAACAGATTAGTTGTACTACTGCGCTACTGAGCATCTTAAAGTTTATCGGGTTGGATGTACATGCGGTTAAACTGTTTGATAACTATCTAATATTATATTACTGATTATAACTTTCTAATAGAATTCAGTCCGTAAGTTGAATTCAGTGATATCTAGTCCTATATTTTGTTCATCAGGTGTTCCACAAGGGTCTGTTCTTGGATCAGTTTTATTTACTATTTACACTTGCAACTTATTTTCTAAATTAAAGCATTGTTCTTGCCATCTATGCAGATGTTACGCAATTAAATCACAGTTTTAAACCAGCTGATCTCCCTTCGGCATGCCGTATTATTACTGACGAGTTGGTTGCTTTGTGCACAGAAATCACTAATCATGATTTGAAAATTAATTCTGACAAGACTCA